TTATTTCTTTTCATTACAGCGTAGTTTGTGGCTCAAATTAGGGGAAGGACGGGCTGGCTGGCAATTCAAAAAAAGGTAGGGATCAAGGGACGTTTGTTACGCTCTATAACAAAGTCCCCTGGCATGCCACTATTCCTATCTTTCAAAAGAAAGGAAAAGACTAGTGGAATATATCAACTAATTCAAAGGTGGACGACCTGTAAAATTGCCAAGTTCATCCTGTCGTTCGCTTGCTCCTTTCGATTCAGTCCCTGCTCATTTCCATTTTTTTTACAATTAAGCCCTTTGAGATAATTATTTTGGTCCTCTAGTTTCGATTGTCCCTAATTGCCTCTTAATTTTGCTCAATAGCTTCCCCTAGCTTTAGGTATTTGGAAATTGACCTATAGTACTTTAAAATAAATCACAATGAGATCCTTAAAAGTAATAATAATAAATAAATAAACTAATTTCCTTTTTTTTAATTATTTATTTAATTTTTTTCTTTCATTTTGTTTTTTTTTAAATAAATTTTTTATTAAACTAAATAATAAAACAAGATGTAACCCAAAATTTGGGTTATGACATTACAAAACAAACAAATTATTTAAATAATTTTTTTATAAAAATTCGAATTTAAAACTATTTATTTAAGCAATTAAATGTTCTTTCATTTAAGTTAATTTTCAGAATAGGAAGAATTTAAGTTTAATTTATTATTGAAATTATAAAAAAAAACTTAGAATAGAATTTTTATAGTCGATTTTTGAATTTAAAGACGGTCTTTAGATCGTGGAAGAATCTGTTTTTTAAATTGGATTTACAAACCCCGATCGGACATTCACATCAAATGTTGTGACCACGTCAAAGCTGCAATGCACTTGGTAGTCCATTGTAATACCATTATCTACTGCTAACTTTGACTATTTCTCGGATCTCAATTTTGTTGTGGTTGAACAGTTTATCAATCCTAAACGTAACCCCACATGAATTTATTAATGTATTCAAGGAAGCTATAGTTATTATGAGACTTCCATTGATGATTTCAAGAATTTGAGTGCCTTTTTCTCCTCAAGATTCCAATCTGAAATTTGAAAGTGAGAAGCATGAATTGATAGAAGGAAATTGAAGACAATGAACTAACAGCCTAACACCACCTCCCCTGTTTCCAACTTGAAAAAGAAACAAATCAAATAAAGTAGCTTGTTTCCTTGAAACTGTTCTTTAGTTCTAAGGTAGCTCGGCATTTTATCATCGAGCTATACTTCTAAAGGGAGAACCATACCTTGACCATCACCAAAGCCACAGAGACACTAACAGTAAAACGACGGAAAGGTCGAACTTGCTCAGCAACCTTCTACACGCTTGTCTGATCAATTTTATTCATTGGAAAAGCTGATGGACCATCACTTTCCTATAGAAGGAACAAGTTAGCACAATCAAACTGATATCATACTACAGTATCCTTCATTCCGTTTCTATCCATAAAGAGAGTTTGAAAATTAAAAGGTATGCTAGGAGGCATGCATAAGAAGGAATCCTATAAGGCTCCTTATGAGGTTCTCTCATCAAAATTCATCCTCACCTTCTTGTTGTCCTCCACAACAGAAGGTGAGGCTGAAAGCAAAGAACCCAATTTGAGTCTGAAGTTTGTCTTTTTGGGTCATTAGTTGCATTCATAAATATAATTCCAAGCACAATCCTAGCAAAAGCTGCTCGTAGCCACGTACTACCATTGCTACAATGAGTTGATTGTTTCTGCAAATGAAACGGTAAAAAATTTTGTTTCTTCAATATTGCTTTATTGGTTAATTAGGATTCTCCTTATATGCTTATAGGAATATTGTTCCATATCATTATCTTCTAGTCACCTTCTTCACTGTCTATGGACATGGATTCTTTCATTTCGATTATAGACTCATGCGCATTAACATGCCTAGGAATGGAAATTGATCAAATATCTCCCTCCTCTCAAAATGTATTCCACTAGTTACAACTCCAAACTACCATAACTATTCTTCAAAATAAATAAATAAGAGAGCAATAAATTTCCCTAGTTTATTACTATCTTTCACCTCAACTAGGTGCAAGGGTCTGATTCTGAGAGAGTAAATTTTTGAAGTATGCATTTCTGTATGTGTTTTCGGTTGATGTTGTTGCTGTATGAGCATACATTACCAGAGATAGTGAAAGTATCCTGAACTTGGATTTAACTTCTATAAGAATCGGATAATATTGTAGGATATTGTGCTGCTTTTCCTGGTGAATGTTCTCAAGTTGTTTAATAAAGAATGCTCATTAATTAAACTGTGCTGCTTTATTATATACGATTTTCTTGGTTATTGGTTAGCTTTGTCAAGTTTCTTTAACATTCCTATTACATGGAACTGTATATCTTACCTGCTATAATTTTCTAGTAATTGCTTTCTTTACTTCTTGATCGAAATTGATCATAAATCAAATGCGAAACGATGTTATTTATGGACCATTTGATAAATAGATTCTTGATACTTAGATGGACTTATTTGGTTTTGTAAGAACTGGATCGTTATGATCTTTGTCAAGTTTGCAGCTTATGGCTCGTTAAATTGGGTTGCTGACTTACTAATTTGAACTCTCGGATGGACAGGTGATCATTGCTTGCTGAAGTTATGAGCACCTGAAGGAGTTGAAGAGGAAGGCGCAGGAGAAGCCCGTGAAGGTTTTCTCATGCCATTGAATGTTGATGAAGTGAGGATGTAGATACACCATCGATAGATGAGATTTAAGCTCTATTATAAAGTGAAAAAGGGTTAATTCTATTTTTTTTTTTTTAGAAAAGAAAAACATATATGAGGAAACTAAAAGTTTAGTGGTATAAATGCAGAAACTTATAATAAGCATACTGATTTGAATGAACCATCATAATATGTTGACTGACTTGTTGCTTTTGTTGGTGGGCTGCGTTTGTGCATGTTTCGTAATTATTTGTTGCTTGAAGGGTACATATTATGGTTTTCAATTCTGTATTTCATGGTTTTTTTTTCTTTTTTCCTTTTAAAGCAAATAAAAGGCCTGTCTAAATTCATCTCATGGGTATTTTGGACAATTAATTTTCGGTACACAATTTTTTTTTTTGACAGAATTTCATTGTTGCTGCACGATCAATGTATATAAAAAGCAGTAGCATTTCAAGGAAAAAAAAAAAATCAAATTCGAAGGAAGGAGGTGAGTTGTGAAAGAATAATGGGTATTTAGAGAGATTAAATTGTGGAAATTCGAAGAAATTAATGGGTCATTTTCAACGTCCTCTTTGGTTTTTGGATGCCATGGAGAAGCAAAGTGTGTGTTTCCCCATGTTGTGGAAGAAGCATGCCATGGAGAGCATAAATAAAAAAAAAGTTGAAAAAGTGAATAAAATGTTTGCCTGATATATATAATCCTGTTCACATTGAAGAAGAAGTGTATTTATGAACAGGCAGCGTCCAAAAGTACAAATGCCTCTGTTGTGTATGGATGGAACCGCTTAATTATTACAAGGAAAGGAATAAAAAGACACGAAAAAAGTACAACTGCAACATCAAATAACGGGTTTTCAGGTATCAAGGGGCAGATGGCATAAGTCACGTCTGGAAGAACCGAACGGTACTGGTAGGTTTCAACTGAGCAGAGACTTCAATGGCTACATGAACCCGGTCGGATAATGAATGTCATTCAAAATTCTCAAAACTCCTTTTTTTTTTTTTAATAACATAATAAAATTATGAGGAAATGTCATAAAAGTTTATATTGATTAATTGAAAATTGACCAAAAAATAACTAATTTTTATTTTAAATAATACACTCTAGTTTATAAAAAGCTAAACATGAAATTAAAATTAACATTAAATGCCGACATAATAAAAAAAAGAGTAAGAAACAAATAAAAAAAAATTCATCAGAAAGTTGTATTTTCACAATACAAACAACTTGAACATGATTTATGATTTGAATCACAAAAAAAATGTTTGGAATAGAATTTTCAAAGTGAATTTTTGACTTCGAAGAAGATCTTTATCCTACAGATGAATTTGTTTTTTGAATTGGATTAGCAAACCTCTCAGGAATTTGTTAATGGATTCAAGGAAGCTACAGAATTATGAGACTTCCATTGATGATCTCAAGAATCTGAGTGTCCTTTTCTCCTCAAGATTCCAATCTGAATTTGAAAGTGAGAAGCATCAATTGATAGAAGGAAATTGAAGACAAGGAACTATCACCTCCTCCCTTGTTCCTAAATTGAAAAAGAAAAAAAGAATCAAATAAAGTAGCTCGGTTCCTAGAAACCATTCTCTAGTTCCAAGGTAACACAGCATTTTATCATCGAACTGTAGTTCAAATGGAAGAATCAAACCTTCTACGTGCTTGTCTGATCAATTTTATTCATTCAAAAAGCTAATGTACCAATGATTGGAGTTTTAGGAACTTTTCCAAGCTGTTGGGTGTTTGAATAAATTTATTACCATATTAAATTTCATAACTAATTTTGGGCAATAGCTATTCCCATGACATCCTAATGCAAGATATCAACTATTTTCATAAGGAATCAAGATAATTAACCAATCGATCTGTACTACAATTTCGTTTTCTGAAAGCGTGACAAACTCAAACTTTCTTATCATAGCTGAGAAATTTTAAGATTTAAGGAAACAGTGGATCACAGGAACAACCATTTTAAGCATCCACCAGAACAGACGAGTGCATTTCCAGTATTACTCCTCTGAATCCAAGCTGCCGAGCTAACTTGAGACACAGCATAGCAGCCCACGTTTCAGCCTTGGCAGAATTTGTTCTTTAACACAAAAAAAAAAAAAAAAAAAAAAAAACACCTTGAAAGCCCTTCTTATTAATTGGGTTTCCTTAAAAAAACGAATGCCACTCTCTGTCGTGGTTATAAAGCTAGCTTCTCCCTCAACATAGATAGAGTTCTTCATCTCTATATAAAAACATACATAGAGTTCTCCTAGTTACGTTGGTTCAGGCTAAGGGTCCTTCATAATAGCTCAAAGTGCAGGAGCTTTGCATTCGTGGTCCAATGTGGTTGCAAATGTAAAAGGTGAGCCAAGGGCTACTGACCATCCCAAGGCAACATCTTTGGCTCTACCATTGGCATCCTGTGTATACACAACAATGAACACCTGATGAGTAATTGAAATGATATGAGTCCTCATGCACATGCGCAGGTTCAGTGCTATGCGTGTGCGCAGCGCATGAATTGAGAGATCCAAAAAAAAAAAAAAAAAAAAGAAACAGAGAGAACCTGGTGGACAGAAAAACTGGAATTAATTCCGGCATCATTTTTGATCTTCTGGCCTTGAGCATAGTCTCTCCTTACAGAATGCGCCTCCACCAGGGGACACACAGCAACCACACTGATGTTCTTTGGGAAATCAAGTCCAATTGACTGCAAATGCTCAATAAGAAATCCATGGGACAGCCCAAGTATGCTGTTTGGCTTCATGTGGGAGAAAACTTGCTCATGAATATCTGCCTGATGCATGAGATTAAAGTTGCATTTTTCAGACTAGGATCAAAACAGACATTCATCAACAAAAAACATGGAATTTCTGAGATGACCTATTAAAAATAAAGATGCATTTCTTTAATTAGCCTCAACAGTCACTAGAATTGAAACGTACAGAATGCATCACATAACTTTTACCTTTGCTTCATGGATAGTTAAAACAAGAAGAAGAAAAGAGAGAAAACAAATGAACTGGAGATATGTTAGAAAATTGGAGACAGTTTCCATTCGTCATTCTATATGATAGAACCTAAAGAAACCTTTAAAAAGCTCATTTTACATCACATGACTTCACTTACGAAATTTAAGGAAGCACAATAATGTCTGCAGAAAAAGACATATCATAAATGTGCAGTCACTAATGGAAATTAACATACATACAGAAAAGTCCACTTTCAAATTTTAAACAATATAGAAACATGAAGAAGCAAATTGCTGTAGTAACAGTGCATACAGAAAAGTGACCCTCGAAGATGGTCATAAAAAACCAATTGCTGGCTATTGTAAGAGCATTGAAGAATGTAATACGAACTTATATAGAACAGTCTTGTTTTCTCTCTTGTAAGTTATAACAGAGCAACATGGTTTGAATGACATGCCAGATCTTTCCCTTTTCTTTTGTTCCCCAAAGCAATCTATTCATTAATTTGTTTGGCCTAAATCTCAGTAGCTAGAAATTGAAAGAAAATACAATAATAACAAATAGAAAAATGTAGACACAAATTCAGAATTTCAAATACAATATTAATTAACCAACCTGTGCAGCATCAGAAATCAATAGCAGCACCAGATCACTTTTTGAAATAGTTTCCCAGATATCACCTAAAGTATCGTTCTCTTCAGTAAAACCAGCACCACGGGCTTCAACAAAAGAACAAGAATCCTTCCTAAGACCAACCTATATCATACAAAGTGAGCATGAAATGTCATATAGTCAAGCCAGGGAAATTAATCATCCATGTCCATGGAACTTCCTAAACAGGTAAAAGTACTGAACTTAAGAGTGAATTGTAAAAAATTACCTTGACTTTTATATCAGACCTAGCTTCAGCAAGAGAATCCCTTAAGTTCTGAGCTTGAACAGAACCCTTATAATGAATGAGGCTGGTTAGCAATTTTTTCTAAGCAATCCAAACAGAGCCATAACAAAAATGAATCAATGGACTAACTCCGAATTAACACATTAAAGGAAACACCTATTATGAAAAGAAGCTAACAGACATCATTCACAAATTGAGCTACTGACGTAAATGCACATTCATAGACTCTGTTTCCAGTTCCTACAGATATTCCAAAAGATTTTCAAGGATGGGAAAGAGGGGCCACAAGTTTCAATCTGCAAACATAGCGAAGACACACAAATTCGGTACTTCAAATTGAAGGCAATTGTACAAATCTTAAGCATAAAACTTCTCCAGAGTCAGGAAGAGTGTATCCACCTGAGAACCCCATCCAATCACACCAATCTGCTTAATTCCCTTGAATGCATTCCGGAGAAAGGGAAACAATTCCCTGCCTCCTTTCACAATGTACTGCAATACAATTGTATAAACCATCATCAATAACCAACGTTTCGAACAGAAAAAAGAAAAACAAAACAGAAATCGAAAATCTGATGAAAAGAAAACAAATTAGAGAGAGAAACAATCTATTAGGAAGAAACCTAATAGCGACCTTCGATTATCAAACGCTAAATTAAAATTTCTAATATTTGATTATAAAATTCTCAAAGTTGGGCTTTAAATTTAGAGAAGGAACTGAAAACAAGAGGATTTTTTTCTCTTTTTTAATAAAATGAAATGATGCAAAATGGAACACCTCATCGTGGCCATCGAGGATGATCTTCTCCTTGTTGAAAACGGAGGTTTTAAGATCAAGAGACGCCAGAGGCTTTGCCCTTGCCAGCAAAACCTTTTCAACAGCAACAACTGAGCCACCATTGCTGCGACCACCATAGCCATCACCACGCCTTTTAGCAATACTAGCTATGATCAGTAGCACAATCACAAGAATGAAAATGATCCAAGGTATTAAATTGGGGAGGATTTTTGATGGAAAACCCAACCATGATGCAAGGAATTTTGATAATGCTGCAGCACTGACAAGAAGAGCTGAGACGTTGCAATGAAATGCAAATCGTGTCTCTCTTGCATAGCCTGATGGGGAGATCTTTTTACTGCTTTCAAAGCAGGTATGAAGACCAGGACTTACAGTACGCGGTGGCGGTGACTCTATATTTGCTGTGCCGTCCCCCGCGCAATCGCCTCCTCCATCTTCATCTATACCATTACTATTTTTAAGCAGCTTCGTAAAATTTTTCAAGACATGTGCAAAGAGGATGACAAGTGACAGCCACTGACCGTGTTGCAGATATCCGATGGAGTTAGATGATTTTGGAGGAGCGTTGAAGAAAGGGAGAGGAGCAGAGACGGCGCAGTGAGTTTCAAATCGTAATTCCTTTTCCTGACCACCGGCAGGGAGATCTCTTCCTTCTTGCTGTAGGAGGTCCCGATGTCAAGAGAAAATGACGACGGTTTCTTATTAGGATCAAAAGGTGCCAACGCCATTTTTGCTTTAGAACGGAGAGTTGCAGCTAATGGCTTGGGTTTGAGTGTTACGAAGGATAAACGAGTTAAATTGGTGCTGCATAGAGATTTTGATAGCGGTTTTGGAGTAGAAGAAGAGAAGTAAATGGCCGCCATTTCGGTGTAGTAAATGTAGCGGCTTTTTGAAATGGAAGGTGGGTTTATTTATAAGCATAGACCTGCATGGCCTGTGTTTTCGGGCAAGGAATCTATATATCCGAAACATAAGGACACGTGCTAACCCGAAGCATAAGCACGAGACTATGAAGTGAAGTGAAGGGCACCAATCCGAATATTCAAACTAATATCCGGTAACAACTGCGCAGTTCCAAGAATCTATGTACCACCCAGCCCCAAATCTGATGTTTTATACAACATTGAATTTATCGGCTTTGGATCCTGTAGCGACACATGGCACCATGAGGTTTCTGTCTCTTTTTCCGCCGTCTTAGAAACTAGAGGGCAAGTTAGTCATTTCATAGTTTTGAGTAGTTAGTGGTAAATCCATAGTCATCTTCTTCTTCTCCTCCCTTTGATGTATTTTCCTGTGTTTGTTAAAGATTAAAAAAAAAATTGTGGCGAATATTGGCCAATAAATTGATATCGTTGTTTTTTAATTGTTGAGTCGATTATTTTGGAGGTTGACTAATATTTATTATTCAATCTTTCTTTGTTTTTTTTTTTTTTTTTTTTTTTTTTGGGCTTATTGGGTTGCCGATTTGAAGGAGCTGAAGAAGAAGGCAGAAGAAGCTTGTAAAGATCGCCTCAGACCTTGAGATGTTGATGAAGTAAGAGTTGACAGACGAGAGGATGGTTTTTATGGTGGCCCATGATTAATTTTGGGACATCTTGCTGTAGCGAGTGCAGTCCTGGAATTCCTCTGATTTATGGCAGGATGAAGGATGTTTTTATGATGACTACCTACAAAGAAGAGTGGTGGAGATACTGAAGTAGGCCACTTTCTTGCAGGCTCTGTCCACACCAGGACATCAGAACCATACTTGACAAATTTTTAGAGCTCACAAGAGTTGTTTAATTTTTCAGTAGATCTCTCAACCTAGAGGATAAGTGTTTCCTTATTTGATCCTTCTTTGTCATCTTTTTTCAGCAGATCTCTGGTAAGCACATGATTTCTTGGTGATGGATGTGACATTTATAATGTTTATTTTCTTCTTACTGTGCTTAGAGGGCGGTGATACAGTTGATTCATAGCATGTTTTTATCTTGGTCTATGGGAATTTGAGAGTTGATTATGTTACAAATGACTTTTTCCTTGCATAATAGATGGGTGAATATAATGCACTAGTTGAAATGTGCGTTACTGGTGGCATGGTAAGTGTTTATTCTCTTGATTTAAATTCTTTTTGGAAGTTTTTTGATGATATGTTTCTTTTTCAGAAAGTTTGGATAATTGATGGGAGTTGGCTTTTAGTCTTGTCTGGTATATACTTGGATGTGTGTGTATTCGCATGAATCTCATGTTTTGAAAATGGTTGAATTCTTTCCAATTTGACCTTTATTTCTTGAAGGCTTATAGTCTTTAGCATTGGTAATATTAAGAAGAAAATGTCTCATGGGCTAAAAGACAAGTCTGAATTGATTGAAGAATACATTATTGGGTTTGTACTGCAGCTTATGTGGACTAAAAAATGGAGCCTGGATTAATTGAAGAAATCAAAGGGTTTGCACTGCTGTTTGTGGGAAGTTGTGTGCTTGCACAGATGTAGGACTTACGCCTAGGATCCTTCTCCATTTGATCTGAAAACTTAAGATCCTTAAGCACACCACAAACACAATATTTCACATTCTCAATAATTTGAATTTCCTCAACTACCAAGGATCTGTTTGGATTAGAGGTCAGATTGTGGCTGTAATTATAACTGTAATGGTGGTGAGTGATAGAGGCAAAATGTATTTCGTTAAAAAAGTGGTTGACAGGGGAAAAAAAAAAGTTAAAAAGACTCCTCCAAATTCAAGTTTCATAATTTCATGCTTCTTATATGATTGAATTTTCACTTTTGAGGCTCCATTTTAATTGCAGAAGTAGTGAGGAGGACTAGGGGATCATTTGAGGCTTACTTCCATCACATTTGTATCTTGATATGCTGTTTAAAATTTGCCTTTCATTCTTCTTTATTGGATATGGTTGCTTAGAATAAATTGATTGTTTTGTTTGTACTGTTTCTTCTTTTTTTGGGTAGTTTCTCAATACTTCTCTCCCATTGGTTCTATTTCGGATTCATAACTCGAAAGTTTCTCTGGCCCTTTTCTAATTGGAGATAAAAGGCCGGAAATTAAAAGTGCCAAAATAGGATTTAACACTTGATATTATTAGAAATGCCCAATTCTCTCAACATATAGAATTCATGTTTCTTGATCATATTGCTAAACAAGATCGTCCACTGGCAAATGATTTGGTGCCATCTTCTTTTTTGGGGCGTCCTTGTCTGCCAAAAGCATCTTGTCAAATATAGACCTGTTAATTTTCTGCTATTTGTTCATGTAAACACCTGTTAATTGGAGTAGCATGCTTTCGGTCCTTTCTCCTTTGTGTTTCAGTAACACATTACAAGGCTAACTTCTAATGTCTCTTCTTGCTGTGTTTGCTTTAGGCTTACTCGCTCTCAATCATGTCCTTTTTGCCGAGACAGTCTCAAGAGAGTCAACTCAGGTGATCTTTGGATCTACACCAGCAACAATGAGGTCATTGACTTGTCTTCAATCACTAGACAGAATTTGAAGAGACTGTTCATGTACATTGATAAGTTGCTTCTCATTGTTCCTGATCCAGTGTTTGTTCCTTACGACCCCCGTTACAGGTGAGGGGTTTCATGGTCTGGAGTTTGTATATAGTTCTGGTTGGTTGTACATGATTCTTTCTTCTCTCCTTCCAGGAGCACATTTTATCACTGTAAATACTTTTCATTGTTAGCACGCTTTGCTTACTATGATTTACTTATGCATTTAAATATATGTAGGCAAGTAGAAGTTAAAATTCGTGATGAAGACAGGTAGGTGGCTTGTCTTTGCACTTTACATGGCACACGAGTAACAAGAGCTCTGATTTCGCTCGTTAATCATTTTGTCACTCGATTTACTTCAATAATCTCTCTACTGTTCCATTATTAGTGATCTTTAATAAGAGGGAGAGAAATATAAAATGTATTGAAAATGACCCTCCCTTGTCTCCTATTGGTCGACGTAAGAAACTACCTTCTTACACCGTATAAGAGAGAGATCTTAGAGCCCTGAGAATGGAAGAAGGAAATATCAAGTTCTACACACGGTAAAGATTCAATGAATCTTTGCATGCATAGCTTTGATCTTTTTCCAGACATTTCCCATACTAATTCTCTCTTGCCACGTGCGGTCGTGGCATGAAAGATTTTGTTTTTATCTGCTGCCATGCCACTTAATGGAATGGTGCAAAAAACATGATGCAGATAGTTGGATCCAGGGACTGCCAAATCTGAAAGAATGAGCTCTTACTCTTCTGAAAGTGTCACAGAAGCATAGGCTCCATTTTATTGGATCATTTGAGTCCGAGGTTATTCTTTTCTGGTGACTCTAGCTCTAGTCTACCAAACATCCACTTACCATAGAATTAAACCAACGTCCTTCCCTAGTTTGTGACTGTACTGGCCATGGAACCTTGTTCTTGGAACTCAACAAACATGTAAGGCTTTTATTTTGAGAGCTTAAATGATGTGTTTATGGTGAATTCTGGGTTACAATCCAAAACCAGAAATGGTTTTGTTCAACTTCCTCTTTGGTTTTGGATAATGAAAGGAGAGCTTGTGGAGGCTACTGTTAGAGTGGAGAGAAAAGGGTAGTCTGCAGAGAGGAGCGCTGCTGCTTTTGGAAATCATAGTGAGGCAGAGAAGAAACAATAGAGCCAGGATTACATCTTCATACACTTAGGAGCCTAGTACCTGGTACTTATGAGGCTTTTCTTGTTGGGTTGAAACAGTTATTAAAGCATTCTCTCTCTGTTTTGTTTTTTCGGAATTTTGTTTCTTAAAGTTTGAGAATAAAATTTAGTGAATCATCTTGATACACTTATGACATTTTTAATAACTTGGTAAGGTCTGTACTAACTTTGAAATTTATGACTCCCGTTAAGAGCCTTATATTACAAGTCAAGTTAAACGGCAGGGAAATTTTAGAAGTATGCATTTCTTGTTGTGATTCTGGTCGATGTTATTGCTGTATGAGCATGGATTACCAGAGCAGTGATAATATCTTGAAACTTTGGTTTAAACTTTATAAGAATCAGATAATTTATTTTAGGTTTTTTTGCTGCTTTTGTTGGTGGATTTACTTGAGTTGTTTGGATAAGGATGATTGATTAAGCTATGCTGCTATAGTTTGCATGGTGATCGGTTCGTTCTGTAATTTTCCTTAATATATATCTTACCTGTTAGAATTTTCTGGTAATTGATCTCATTACTTTTCGATTGAAATTGATCATAAATCAAGTGCATGTGATATTATTTGAGGACTCTTTGATAAACAAAATCCTGAAATTTATATAAACTTATTTGGTTTTAAAAGAGCAGGATGTTATAATTGTTGTCAATTTTTCCAGCTCATGTGCTTGTTGGATTGGGTTGCTGAATTATTGATTTGAAGTTTCACACAGACAATGCATCATTGCTTGCTGAGGTTATTAGCCACTTGAAGGAGCTGAACAGGAAGCCAGCAGAAGCTGATGAAGGTCTTCTCATACCATTGAATGTTGATGAAGTAAGAGGTGAAAAACAAGAGGATGGTTTGCTTGGTGCCCTTTATTTAATTAAGGCTTCTATATGTTGCGATTACTAGCCTGGAATGCTGTCCAATTTAAGACAAGCACTTGATGCTCTCCATATGATAATAATGAGGGCAGAGATTCCGATGGGAAGGCAGGGTGAAGAATGCTTTTGTGATGACCAGCTGAAAAGAAGGACACAGAGATGATACTGAAGTAAACCAGTTTCTTGCAGGCTCTGTCTGCCAGACCATAAAATCCATACTTGATGAATTTTCTGCCTCAGAAGATTTCTGATTAAAATCCACATTTCGAAGAAGAGGAGAAAGGTTTCTCTAATCAATCCATCCTTGTCATCTTCTTCAGCAAATCATTGGTGAGCCTATTGTTTTTTAGCATCGATCATTCATTCACGTAAGTCTTAGTTAATATTTGAGCAGCTGAAATTGTAGGTTTGAATGTTAAGGTTGAATCGCATTGAAATTATAGGAAAATGTCTCTTAGACTAGATGGGAGTGATAATCAGGTCTTAATTAACTGAAGAATACATTGAATGGAAGTTACCCTTACAGGCACACCAGCAGGCAAAACAAGAACATTCAATGCCATAATATAAAAGCATTTACACAGTCCAAGGTTGATTTTTTGGTCGCTCTAGCTCGAGTCTACCAAACATCCACTTACCATGGAGTTAAACCAATACCCTTCCCTAGTTTGTGCCTAGTACGGCTATGGAACCTTGTTCTTTCGATCTCAACAAGCCTGTGAGGCTTTGATTTTGAGAGATTAAATGATGGGTTTATGGTGAATTCTGGGTTACAAGCCAGAACCAGAAATGGTCTTGTTCAACTTCCCCTTTGATTTTGGATAAGGAAAGAGGAGAGCTTGTGCAGGCTGCTGTTAGTGGAGAGAAAAGGGCTGTCTGCAGAGAGGAGCATTGCTGCTTTAGGAATCATAGGGAGGCAGAGAAGAAACAATAGAGCCAGGATTACATCTTGATACTCTTAGGAGCCTAGTACCTGGTGCTGACAAGTTTTTTGTTGTTGGGTTGATTACGTCGAAGTTTGAGTTGAAACAGTTCTTAAAGCATTCTCTCTCTGTTTTTTTTTTTTTTTTAATGAATTTTGTTTCTTAAAGTTTGAGAATAAAATTTAGTGAATCATTAGGTAATGCACTTGAAAATAACATTATTTCTTATAACATTTAATTTTGTTGTTAAAGAGTTAGATAATGCTAGTAAGGTCTGTACTAACTTTGGAATTTATGACTCCAGTTAAGAACCTTATACTACAAGTCAAGTTGTTAGGGAAATTTTAGAAGTACACATTTTTTGTTATGTTTCTGGTTGATGTTATTGTAGTAGGAGTAGGTATCACCAGAGCAGTGATAACTTCTTGAAACTTTGGTTTAAACTTTATGAGAATCTGATAATTTATTTTAGGTTTTTGTGCTGCTTTTGTTGGTGAATTTACTTGGGTTGTTGGATAAGGATGATTGATTAAGCTATGCTGCTATAGTTTGCTTGGTCATCAGTTCATTCTGTAATTTTCCTCGACATATATCTTACATGTTAGAATTTTCTGGTGTTGATGTCATTACTTCTTCTCGGTTGAAATTGATCATAAATCAAGTGCATGTGATATTATTTAAGGACTATTTGATAAACAAAATCTGAAATTTATTTAAACTTCTTTGGTCTTGGAAGAGCTGGATGTTATAATTGTTTTCAATTTTTCCAGCTCATGGCTTGTTGGCTTGGGTTGCTGAATTATTAATTTGAACTTTCACGAAGACAATGCATCATTGCTTGCTAAAGTTATAAGCCACTTGAAGGATAAGACAGGTAGAGATTTGTGCATTTAAAAAAAAAAAAAAAATTCCTATATGGCCAACTCTTCTTCAAAGACTCCACTTATCTGCGCCAGTGCCACTTACTCTTTTCTTGCCTTTCCTATAAACAAGCAGAGCAAAGCAAAGCAAAGCAATGACGACATTCTAAAGCCTCAGACTTCAATGTTTTATTACTATCTTGGAACTCAACTAGTGTGCAAGGTCTGATTGTGAGAGATTACATGATGGGTTTATGGTGAATTCTGGGTTACAATCCAAAACAAGAAATGGGTCATATTCAACTTCCCCAATGGTTGTATGTAATGAAAGAGGAGAGCTTGTGGAGGCTACTGTTAGAGTGAGAGAAAAGCGGGTTGTGAAGAGAGAAGCATTGCTTTGCTGAGAAATCTTAGCAAGGCAGAGAGGAAACCTAGAGCTACACTTAGGAACCTACTACCTGGTACTAATTATGTTGATGTTTGACTTTAATCACCGTTCTTAAAGGCTTCTTCTTCCTCTTTTTTTTTTTTTTTTTTTTTTTTTTTTTTGGCGTGGGTGTATGAATTTTGTTTCTTAAACCTTGAGAATAAAATTTAGTAAACCATTAGGTAATGCACTTGAACGTGAAATTGTTGCGGAGTGTTTGATAATTGCTAGTTATGTTTGTACTATGTTTCGAGTTTGACAATCTTCAAGAATCGTATATTTACAATTCAAGTTTGACTTCAGGGAATTTTTTGAAGTGGGGCATGCATTTTTGTTTTTCAGGTTGATGTTGTATGAGGATGCTTTACCAGAGAAAAGGATGTATGAGAAAGTTGTATTTTCAGAGTAGGAGCAATCCAAGCTTGATTTTGATGCAATCATTTTGATGTAAAAAAAAATCAAAGCACGAGAAGCAATCATTTTCGATTGGTGTATCATTATTTCCTGCTACCTTTGTCTACGGTCAGGTGAGGATATCAGGAAATGGATAAAACAAGGAGCTCATGTCTCCTATCTCAATCTTGTTGTAGTTGAAGAGTTATCAATCATAAACCAAACTCCACAGGAATTTATTAATGGATTCAAATAATCTACAGATATTATAAGACTTCCATTGATTATTTCTAGAAATGAAGTGCCCTTTTCTCCTCAAGATTCCAATGTGAAATTTGGAAGGCAGAAGCATCAATTGATAAAAGGAAATTGAAGACAATGAACTAACACAACCTCCCCTGTTCCCAGCTTTAAAAAAAATAAAAATAAAAAGGAGCTCGTTTCTTTGAAATCGTTCTCTAGTTCCAAGGGGAGAATCGTATCTTGACCATCACTAGAGAGTTTGAAAACTAGAAGGGATGGATTGACAGCGAGAGTGCTTGGCATGACACGAGAAGGAACTCTATCAGCCTCATCTTCTTGCTGTCAAATATATTTAAATAAGTTAACATCGATGACATATAGCTTTAAGACATAAAAACTTTATGTTAATCGAGATTAAATTCACTATTTTTTTAAGTCAAGTCATTATTAGATTATAATTTACTTTGGATTAATTCTAAGAACGTAACTTTTTGAACCATTAGCAAATTATGTCTATTGCCACGCAAAAAAAGTTTGAAGGAATTTTACGAAAAAAAGAAAAGAAAAGAAAAAACACATCCTTTTACCATCCTATTTATGACATTGGTGGTACGTTTACGTACTGACTTGCTTACCATAACAGCAGAATCCCCGACGTGTAATCATGTCCCTTTACATAGTCTTTACTTTAATTAGTAATGATTTCAAATAAATTGTAATACAAATTTCTCTGGGATTGAATTTCTATTCTATGAGGAAACCAAACGTGCAGGGTCAAAGTGTAATGCGTAAGAAAGGGCATAACTATTCCAAGAGAAAATGTATTCCACGAGATAAAATTCCAAACTACCATAACTATTCTTCAAAATAAATAAACAAATAAGAGAGCAACAAAGGGCATGAAGCCCATCTCTACTTTTTGTTACTAGAAAGAAACCAATGGTGGAAATATGAGCTGAAATTGTGGTTTAATGCGTAAGAAAGTCACTTCTCTTCAATTTTCTCTTCCTTTCTTCCTGAAAAAGAAAAAAAAAAAAAAGATCAGTAGTAGAAAAATTGGGAGAGCAACAAAGGGCATGAATCCCCACATTGCGAATATCAAAAGAACAAAGCCTTAAAGAATCTTTTGTTTTGGTACCTTATAAATCCAAATACCACATCACAATGAGCTATAAAACTACTCTCCTGCTTAGAACAAGCTTCGCCTCAATATAGATAAAGAGTTCTCCTACATGGATCAAGCTAAGGGTTCTTCGGATCTCAGTTGCTAGATTGGCCTAACTCAGGTCGCACAGACCCAATATCTGATGGCACTCGAGTGCTGATGGTGGAGGTCAATTGGTCGTAGACTTCAATGGCTCTATGCACAGGATCTGATAGTAAGTTACTGATGAGATCATGGTTGATAGGAGCACCATTGTCCACTGCCACCAATGCCCGCTGGTTGAGAAAATAGTCAAAAAGATGAGCCCATTTCCTTGATTCCAATGTTGCTGTGGCAGAGCAGTTATCAAGCATATAAGAACGTTCAAGGGCATGCATAAGCGAATTCAGGGAATCCACAGACTCTATTACAGATCCATGGATTATTGCAGAGTACGATTGCCCTTTCTTCCTCAAAATTTCAACCTGAAGTTTAAAAGAAAGATGCATCACAAATTAGACCAAGGAAAATTCAAGACGCTAAACACCATTTACTAACAATCTCTTTCACTAGTCCCAACTTCCAACAGACCAAATTTAATATCTTTGACAAAAAGAAACTAACTAGAATTCTAATTTCCAACTTTAAAAATCAAATCAAGCTGGTTTCTCTGAACATGGCTCCAAGATTGTTCTGCATTTATCATACTACTGCAACTAAAGTGAAGAATCATACCCGGGCCATCATTAATGCCATAAAGACACCACAAGTGAAAGGATGCAGTGGAACTAAGCTCCCTCTTGGCTGGCCAGATCGGACTAGTTCACCAACAATCCAAGCATGTGTTTGATCAATTTTACTCATTGGAAAAGCTACCAGACCATCCTTTTCCTATAGAAAGAATAAGTAAAATGAACAGCAGTACAGTATATTACGTAGAACATATTTCAAGACATTTCATCAACAGGGCAAAGAAAGATCATAAACTTCAACATAGCAGAAGACCATAACAAGGAATGAATTCATAAATAAAGAATATTTTTGCATCACGTATCAGTATGCCACAGCAAAAAGATGATAAAATGAACATACATGAAAGAGAAGCGGATTCCCAGCAAGGAGAACACTACTCATCCCACTACCACAGGCTACACCATTATAGCAGTCATGTAAGATGACCAAGCAGGGATGATATGAGACGCTGTAAGCAACCTCAAATTCCCTTTTGCCTTCTTCAGATAAGGAACTGTATACATCCATCATTCCCTGTTACAACATAGAAATGGGAACAATAAAGCCATCAATGCCTTACCCAATTAATTAAATAACAGTAATACAAGCATATTGTACTGAGGACATGCAGGGAAATATGAATTCCGAGTTTTAGGTCCCAGTACCTTGGTTGATACAGCCTTGGATATAATTCCTGTTATGCACTCAACAGTGCTCTCGTAAGCTTCATCCTCACTCATTCCATTTTCAGTGTACCATCGAAATAAGGAACACAGGATGCCATGAACAACACCTGGTAAAATGGCTACAAAACATCAAAGCATAAAATCAGGTGTCAAGCAGCAGGTGCAGAAATAAAATGTAGGGAATTACACTCACCCTGCTCCCTCAAGATATCACTCTTGTATTCCTGCTCTAGTGTAGTGGCAAATGTGAAAAGCGAACCAATGGCCACTGACCATGCCAAGGCAACATCTGTGGCTCTACCATCAATATCCTGTACATATGCATAGGAAAAAATAAACACCAGAAGAGTTGGTGAAATTAGGTAAGTACTGATGCACATCAACAGGGCTGGTGTGTGTGCATGTGGGTGGAGCTCATGGTTACATGCAACCCAAGAAAGAGAGAGGTAACCTGGTGGACTGCAAAACTAGAATTAATTCCAGCACCATTGATCTCTTTTCCTTGAACATAGAGTCTCCTTACAGAAGGACCTATTCCCTTAGGGCAAACAGCAATCACACCAATGTTCTTTGGAAAATCAAGTCTCATTGACTGCACATGCCCAAGATGAAATCCATCGGAAAGCCCAAGGATGCTGTTTGGCTTCATGTGGGAGAGAACCTTTTTATAGTCATCTGCCTGTTGAATGAAATAAAACTAGAATTTTTCAAAGGAGCAAGACATAAAAACGACCGAGAAAGTAATGATTGACATATACTGGACTAAAAAAAGACACTACAGATAGTTCATAAAAAGAAAAGAAAAGAAAAGAAAAGAAAAGAAAACCCAACTCTGATAGTCAACAGCTGCAAATAAGAATGGAATACAGATCATTCAGGAACTTGCTATTCATTTTGATGCTAAATTAGCTGCAGTGATAAGAGGAAAAAAAAAACGTAGAGATTGGTTTTGGCCAGCACACTATCAGATATAATGGTGGAGGTTCAGGGGTTTCTGTCTAATAATATCTGTGCTAACCATTTGAGTGATAATCAAGGAAGCTTGGTCCTCATGAAAATTTCAACCCAGGAATGCATGGACCTCATCAGGAAAAGAAAAAAGAGCTAAGGTTGATCGGAAAAAAGAGCTAAGGCTGATCAGCATTAACCTAATTTGGGGATCATTACCTATTCCCAGTGATAGTTTTATTGCCTGAATTGCAGTGCATAACAGGCTAACTTCCAGGGTTTGACAACTATTCACAGGTAGGAATATTAATGCAGAATCGTCTGTCCATCTCCCCTTACTGTCAAGATGTTTGGAGTGAAGTTCTGCAGAGTGTGGGTATTGAAGAAACACTGGAGGATGGATGATGGGGTTTGATTGAGCCAAGAGGGTCTGCGATAGAAGAATTTCCATGCTTTTGTTGCAAGAGTACATAGGAATGCTACAATCTATGGAATCTAGGGGCAATGAAACGAGAGAAAGATCATTAACTGGATATTTTCTGCAATTTCTAGATACAGGATGTTTGTATGAGAACCCCTTTGTTTGATTGTACTCGGTGCTAGTTGTAATAAGAAACTTCACAATATTTTCCTTTAATCAATGAAATTAAACAGCTGCAAAAGTATCGAATATAAGAGATAACAAAATAAATTTAAAGGGCTGTTTCATTAGCTCAAACTGGCCTTGAAGCAACCAACAAAGTTAAAACACTTGCAACAAATATCAGAGCCCTTACACTCCCTTTGGTATGTAGAAAAATACAAGGTGAAAAAACAGCTAAAAATGTTTTGGAAAATAAATTTTTATCTTCAATCATCTCAGCTTGGGATGACATGCCAGAGATTTCTTTTCCTTCTTCTCCTTTCCCCCCACAACATGAGCTCTCATCTAAAAAGCTAAAATAATACTTTCATTTGTTTAACCTAAATCTATCTCAGCAGACATGAATTGAATATTTCAACCAAAAACTTGGAGAAGTTGGAACTCAAAGAGCATAGTATGAACAAACCTGTGCTGCATCAGAAATCAATAGCAGCACTAGATCACTTCCTGAAACAGTCTCACAAATATCACCCAAAGTGTCATTCTCTTCAGTAAAACCACAAGCACATGCTTCGGCAAAAGAACGAGAACCAGTCCTGAGGCCAATCTGTATCATATTCAGACAGGAGAAATTAATCATCAATGTCCAAGAAACTCGCTAAACAATTAAAAGCATAGATGACAGAACATAAGGGTGAATTGTGAATTACCTTGACTTTTATGTCAGACTTGGCTTCAGCAAGAGAATCCCTTAAATTCTGAGCTTGGGCAGCACCCTTATAATGAATGAGGAGCTGTTAGCAACTTAAATCAACAGTCCACAGTAAAGGAGAGATTTACTAGGGTGGAACAAAAGGGTTTTTCGGTTGCTTAAAGCCCAAACAATGAAAATCAACAGAAAGAATTCTGTTATTGGAAATAAGACAATGTATGGATAATCTTAAGTCAGTCAAATTCTGTTTTTTTTTTTTTTTTTGCAAAGAGAGAGAGGCAATATTCACCTGGGAACCCAAAACAATGACACCAATCTGCTTAATCCCCTTGAGTGCATCAGGCAACAAGTGAAACAAATCCCTTCCTCCTCTCACAATGTACTACAATACAGTAGATACAAATCACCATCAATAACCATACTTTGAAAATTAATAAATAAGGCCTGTACTTGTTTTTGTTGCTCTAAAGAAACAATGAGATGTTAAAAAGAAGCTATATTGATATGACTTCTCTTCATTCTTCACTAGTTCTCTTCCTAATTCATCCAATCACCAAATAGGAAATATATATATATATATATATATATTAGAGAGAGACAAAGAAAAGTACCATAAAAGTGTCAGAACCTCAAACATCCACCTTTGATTATGAAATAAATAAAAAAACAAATAAAAATTGAAGTCTGCATTCGATAGCCAAACACGAAAGTGAAAACTATAGAAATGAAGCTAAGAGTTAAACCAAATGAAATCAAACTGAAAAGATGGCAAAAAAAGAAGAAAAAAAAGAAAGAAAGGAATTGAAATACCTCATCTTGTCCACCGAGAGTGATCTTCTCCTTCTTAAAAACAGAGGTCTGACAATTAAGGGAAGTTAAAGGTTCCTTTTCACCTGGCTCCAAAACCCTTTTAGCTGTTCCAACACCAGCCCAAAAGGTACCAAACGCATCTCCTATCTTCTTTTTAATCGAAGAAACCATCCCGGAATCTGGTGCGGATTGCATAGACTTGCCAGTCGCAGAAACATCACAATGAGCTTCAAATTGTGATTCTTTTTCTTGGACAGCTGGAGAGATTTTCTCCTTCTTACTAAATGAGGCACCAACTTTCAAAGAAAACGAAGGATTCTCTTTAGACATCGATAAAACCTTCGTAGACCGGCCTACATGAAGGTGAAGTGGCTTATGAATTAGGTTGCGGTTGGAGAGGGAAGATATAGAACGAAATGAATTGTGGTTGCGAAGTGATTTTTGTGATTTCAAGGAATTTGATGGGGCTGCTATAGAGGCAAGAGAGAGAGACAAAGCTGCGGCCATTTTAGCTGATAACCAAGAAGCTGGTGAAACACCAACGAAAGTAGGTGGGGTTTCTAGGGCTGGTGCTATTCTCCGCCTCGAGCGTTAATACGATAACCCCTCTTCTTTGGATAGAGAGGAAGGTGGGGGGAGAGGAAACAAAACTTGTAATAATATCAGGTGCGTTGCCACACGCTCAAGAACCGACTTATTATCTCTGGAATCTTCCAACTTTTAAGGATGACAATTATAAATTATTCTTATTATATGTTTTTTATCTTAATTTAGTCCCTCAGCAAATAAATCTCTTATTTGGTATCAATTAATAATGGTATTGATGATTTTATCTGATGCATGTCCGTATACATACAGTTATAACTATAATTTTTTCTTAAAAACTTGATAAATTGAAGCTTTCCTCAATAACTGACAAACTCAAACTTTCCTATCATAATTGAAAAATTTTAAAATTTAATAACAAAAAATATGGTAATAAAGTTCTTAGAATCTATGGACTCAACCAAGCTTTAGATTCTGATAACAACACATGGCATCTTGAGGCTATAGTCTCTTTTTTGTGATTGAGGTTAAAAAAGCAAGTTAAAAAAACTGATTTATTATAGAACTAAAAATCACATATAATAAAATTTTAATGATTAAAATAAAAAAAATTATAAAATAAGGACTAAAATGTAAAATTAATTTAAGCCAAAAGAGGTTTAAAGCAGTAAGCAAGGAAAGAAAAAAAAAAAAAAAAAAAAGGCCTACAGGCAAGGTAAGGGAATGGGGAAAAAGAAAAAGAGAAAAGAGAGAGGAGGAAAAAAAAAAAAACTTAGGCTATAGGTAAGGAACTTGAGCTATAGTACTTTAGGGTTTTTTTTCCTTTTTTTTTTTTTTTGTAATTATAATTAACAGTTATACTAATGATTTTATTTGATGCATATTCGTGTACGTACGGTTATAACTATAATTTTTCCTTAAAAGCGTAACAAACTGAAGCTTTCCTTTCATAGCTGACAAAGTCAAACTTTCCTGCCATATTTAAGAAATTTTAAGATTTCATAAAACAGAAGATGACATGAATCTTCACTTGATGCCTCCACCAGATACAATAATAAAGTTCGTAAAATCTATGGATCCAATCAGGCTTAAAATTCCTAGAATCTATAGACCCAACCAGGCTTTGGATCCTGATAGCAACACATGACACCTTGAGGTTTCGGTCTCTTTTTTTGCAGCGGTATAGAGGTCGAAAGGTAAGTTAGTTATTTCGATGATTCGAGTAGTTAGTGTTAGTTAATTTAAATATTAATGTTTCAAGATAGATCCTCAACTGTTTTATTTGCTTTAATTATATTTTTTAACTAAATGTTTTATTAATAACATCCATCAATGTTAATTTTTAGTCTTAATTGTGACATTTATTTTTTCTGTCTATTTTTTTTAAAAAAAAACAAATTCTGCAATGAAAAATTAAAAATCCCAAAACATCCCTATGGTAGAAAACCCGTGATCCTACTAACTTCAGTTTCAAATCTCCCCTTTCCTAACCCTAATTTTCGTAATTCCAAATCTCGTTTCAAAATTTTCCAAGAGACAAGTCACCGATGCTACAACAACTTGACCGTTTATGCATCACTTTCAGCTTTCAATTCAGGCGACTGGAAGAAGAAAAACAATTTTCTCCTCAATTTTTCTAGCACCCTCGATTGCAAGGTTTAAAATTCATGGCGGCGTCTGCAAAGATTAGCGACGGAGATCACGATGCGGTGGAGCTTATCGTGTGTCTGTGCGACGCTTTAGCATCAGCACCGGCACCTGATGAAATCAGTAGCGATGGTGCCGTTTCAGACTCGGAGGAGATAACTCCACTGTTGAAGCCTAAGATCAATATCTTCTCCTTGTCTCACTCCCGCAGAAAGCCTCGAGTATTTTTCACTCTCTATTTCTTTTGTTTCCCATTCTTGCTTATATTTGTAACCTTTGTTAATTGGCTAGCTTAGTTTGAAAATTTTTAGTTAGTAATTTCTTGGAGATTTGTCTACAATTTTTTTTTTTTCAATTTATACTAAATGCTGAAGATGTGTGTTGTTTATTTTTTGACAGAAACTTTCAAACTTTCCCCTCAATTGAACGAGGGCTAGTACAAGAAAACCAACATAGAAAAATACGTAAGGGTAAACCAAAAAAAAAAAAAAAAAAGCCTTCCAGCAGTTAGTATTTTTTTTTGGCTTATTGAGTTGCCGATTTGAAGGAGCTGAAGAAGAAGGCAGAAGAAGCTTGTAAAGATCGCCTCAGACCTTGTGATGTTGATGAAGTAAGAGTTGACTGACGAGCGTATGGTTTTTATGGTGGTCCATAATAATTAGGGACATCTTGATGTCGCAATTGCAGGCCTGCAATTCTCTCTGATTTAAGGCAGGATGAAGAATTTTTTTTGTGAGGACTATCTGCTAAGAAGAGAGTGGTAGAGATGCTGAAGTAGGCCACTTTCTTGCAGGCTTTGTCCACCAGGACATCAGATCCGTACTTGATAGATTTTCAGAGCTCACAAGAGTCGTCATTGACTAAAATCCTTCAACCTAGAGGATAAGGGTTTCCCTATTTGATCCTTCCTTGTCATCTTTTTTCAGGAGATCTCTGGTAAGCATATGATTTCATGGTGATGCTTGAGACTTTTATAATGTTTATTTTCTTCTTACTGTGCTTAGAGGGCTGCAACACAGTTGATTCATAGCATGTTTTTATCTTGTTCTATGAGAATTTAAGACTTGATTATGTTACAAATGACTTTTTGCTTGCATAATAGATGACTGAATATATTGCACTTGTTGAAATGTGCGTTACTAATGGCATTGTAAGTGTTTATTATCTTGATTTAAGTTCTTTTTGGAAGTTTTTTGATGATATGTATCTTTTTCAGAAAGTTTGGATAATTGATGAGAGTTGGCTTTTAAACTTTTGAGGTATATACTTGGATGTGTGTTTATTCGCATGAATCTCATGTTTTGAAAATGGTTGAACTCTTTCCAATTTGACCTTTATTGTTCTTGAAGGTGTATTGTCTTTGGCATTGGTAATATTAAGAAGAAAATGTCTCGCGGACTAAAAGACAAGTCCTGATTGATTGAAGAATACGTTAATGGGTTTGTGCTCTAGCTCATGCGGACTAAAAAATGGAGTCTGGATTAATTGAAAAATCAAAGGATTTGCACTGCTGTTTGTGGGAAAATCCGTGCTTGCACAGATGTTGGACTTACAAGGTGAGTGAAAAGAAATTTTAATTGATGAAGTAGTGACGAGCAGTGGGGGATCATTTGAGGCTCTGTATTCTAGATCAATACATCACATTTGTATCTTAATATGCTGTTTAAGATTTGCCTCTCATTCTTCTTTATTAAATATGATTGCTCGTTGCTTAATATATTCAGGCAAAATCATTGGCTAAGGCTTGCTGAATTATGAATTGCAATAGAAGCAGATAGGCAAGTTGATGGAAATGGATAGATGGATGGAATATGAGTATGAAAGAGATGAAGATTGATTAAGAGCAGATTTGTTCCAGGAATAAAGCATGATTGGGAGGATGTATTTTTTGAGATAATAGGAGGGAAATACAGGAGTAAACAATAACTTTAGATACTGAAGAACTATCATAAAACTTGTACATATTGGAAGTAGAATTAAGTTAGAATAGAAAAAATGATATATTTGTTGACTGTAATGCTGAGTTGGGATTTTGGTCCAGGGCAGGCTGCATCACAGTTTTACCGATAGTATGGTCCCAAACTCCCTGCCTAATACTTTAGCAGAAACCACGCAATGAAGATGAACTAGGTCAATGTTTAATGGCAAAGTTTAACCAAAATTCTAGCATCAATCATTGATTCTCATAAGTCTTAATTAATATTTGAGCAGCTAAAATTGTAAGATTGAATGTTAAGGTTGAATCGCATTGAAATTATTTGAAAATGTCTCTTAGACTATAAGAGAGTGGTAATCAGGTCTGAATTAACTGAAGAATACATTGAATGGAAGTTACATGTAAAGTCACACCTTTAGGCAAACAAGCTGATTCAATACTATAATACAAAAGGATTTACGGAGTCCAAGGTTGTTTTTCTAGTCATTCTAGCACTAGTCGACCAAACATCCATTTACCATAGAATTAAACCAAAATCCTTCCCTAGTTTGTGACTGTACTGGCTATGGAACCCTGTTCTTGGAACTCAACAAGCATGTAAGGCTTTGATTTTGAGATATTAAATGATGGGTTTAAGGTGAATTCTGGGTTAGAAGCCAAAACCAGAAATGTTTTTGTTCAACTTCCTCTTTGGTTTAGGATATTGAAAGAGGAGAGCTTGTAGAGGCTACTGTTAGAGTGGAGAGAAAAGGCTTGTCTGCAGAGAGGAGCACTGCTGCTTTTGGAAATCATATTGAGGCAGAGAAGAAATAATGGAGCCAGGATTACATCTTGATACACTTCGGAGCCTAGTACCTGGTGCTGACAAGGCTTTTCTTGTTGGGGTTGATTACCTTGAAGTTTGAGTTGAAATAGTTCTTAAAGCATTCTCTCTCTGGTTTTTTTTTTTTTTTAAAAAAAAAAATAAATTATGTTTCTTGAACTTTGAAAATAAATGTAGTGAATCGTTAGGTAATGCATTTGAAAGTAACTTTATTGCTGATAACTTGAGTTGCTTAATTTTGTTGTTAAGTGTTAGATAATGCTAGTGAGGTCTGTCCTACCTTTGGAATTTATGATTCTTGTTAAGAATCTGATATTACAAGGTGATCAATGTCAAGTAAATTTTAGAAGTATGCATTTTTTTTTGTTGTGTTTCTGTTTGATGTTATTGCTGTAGGAGCTTGTATTACCAGAGCAGTGATAATATCTTGAATCTTTGGTGTAAACTTTATAAGAATCTGATAATTTATTTTAGGTTTTTGTGCTACTTTTGTTGGTAAATTTACTTAGAGTTGTTTGGATAAGGATGATTGATTAAGCTATGCTGCTATAGTTTGCTTTGTGATCAGTTCATTCTGTAATTTTCCTTAACGTATATTACCCAAAACATACATCTTACCTGTTATAACTTTCTGGTCATTGATGTCATTACTTCTTCTCGATTGAAATTGATCATAAATCAAGTGCATGTGATATTATTTAAGGACTATTTGATAAACAAAATCCTGAAATTTATATAAACTTGCATGGTTTTGGAAGAGCTGGATGTTATAGTTGTTGTCAATTTTTCCAGCTCATGTGCTTGTAGGCTTGGGTTGCTGAATTATTCATTTGAACTTTCACACAGGCAATGCATAATTGCTTGCTGAAGTTATTAGCCAACATGTAGAAGCTGAACATGAAGGCAGCAGAAGCTAACGAAGGTCGTCCCATACCATTTAATGTTGATGAAGAGTTAAACAACAAGAAGATGGTTTGCTGGTGCCCTTTATTTAATTAAGGCTTCTATATATTGTGATTACCGGTTTGGAATGCTGTCCAATTTAAGACAATCACTTGAGGCTCTCCCTATTTTAATAATGAGGGCAGGGATTCCTGCATTGGAAGGCAGGTTGAAGAATGTTTTTGTGATAACCAGCAGAAAAGAAGGGCACAGAGATGATACTGAAGTAAACCAATTTCTTACAGGCTGTCTACCAGACCATCAAATCCGTACTTGACAAATTTTCTGCCTTAGAAGATTTCTGATTAAAATCCACATTTTGAAGAAGAGGAGAAATGTTGCTCTCGATTCGAACCATCCTTGTCATCTTCTTCAGCAGATCTCTGGTGAGCCTATCATTTTTCAGTGATGGTTGCTAGTTTTATATTGTCCATTATCTCCTTGCCATAGAGGGTGGTCATGCAGTTGATTTGTTGCATATTTTATCAGATGTCTTATGCGGAGATCGGTGAATGTAATATATATACTTTCTGTAATGAGAATTACTGACAGCATAATGTAATAGTAAATGCTTATTTTCTCAATACAATTTCTTCTGGGAAGTTATTTCATCATGCATGGAAGTTGGCTTTAATTAGTCCTTTGTTTGCCTCAGTATGTAAGCAGTTTCATTTAAGAACAAGACTATACAGACAGAAAAATTAAGTCCACTTTTGATGTGAATTCTCTTTTCTGGCTTAGCATTTTAGAGCTCTTTTTTGTTATGTGTGTGTCCTGGAAAATGGTCTAACACTTTCCAATCTCACTTTTTTTTCTTCCAAAGTATATACTCTTTAGCATCCCTATTCACCAGAAGTTATACGTCTCAAATGAAGATTACATCAAAGGGTTTAAACTGCTGGTTGTGGGTAGAATGAAGCTTGAACAGAGCCCTTATAATGAATGAGGCTGGTTAGCAATTTATTCCAAGCAATCCACACAGAGCCATAACAAAAATGCATCAATGGACTAACTCCGAATTAACACATTAAAGGAAACACCTATGATAAAATGAAGCTAACAGACATCATTCGCAGATTGAGCTACTGATGTAAATGCACACTCTCTTTCCAGTTCCGACAGATATTCCAAAAGATTTTCAAGGATGGGAAAGAGGGGCTACAAGTTTCAATCTGCAAGCAGGGCGAAGGCACACAAATTGGTTACTGCAAATTTAAGGCAACATGATCAGTTGCTATCACTTGTCATCTCCTTTGCACATATCTTGATAAATTTGACTAAAATCATTATTAAATTATATTATTTTTTAATTTCCTCCAATATCCTAATGCTAGATTTAATATAAATAGATTATTTTAATAGCATGATTTGATAATATGATTTTTTTTTTCTATAAATACAGTTAACATCAAACAAATTCTAATGCTAAAGATGCTAGGTCTAAAATGGAATGATAGACAGGTAAATTCTAAATATGCTACCAACACAAATAAGATGATAGGTAGGGTATAGGTTAATAATATCAACCGTCTTATTATATGTGAATTTCTTTCCACATGAACCATTGACATATGTCCATGGAAAGGAACTTCCCCATCAACTATTTTCCACCAAAACGCTTTATCTTAATATTGTTTGGTTCTCCCTCCCTTTAACCACAACACACCAATTAGACAAGTTTATTCTATTCAAATGAAAGTTGAAAAACTTGGCATGCTTTTAATATTTATTAATGTGCCTAGCATTCAACGTTTGACCCTTGAATTAACAAAAATCCACTCCACTCCTTCGATTGAATTGGAGAATACCTTGACCTTGAAAAAATAACAATGATGACGTGTTTCAAATTTCTCAATTAATGACCCACCAACCCTGAGATGCAGAGTTTCCTAACCAAATTGTCTAAGGAAAGAAACAAATAGCATAAAAAAGATAAAAGAAAAGAAAACACGAGAGCCCACCTTACGCACTATGTTTTCTTCCGCACTTTTAGAAGGATCTAAATTATTACATGAAATGGGGCAAAAAAGGACATCCAAAAAGTACAACTACAACATCAAATAAGGGATTTTCAGGTATCGATGACCAGACTGGCATAACTCAAGGCACACAAAGCCAACATATGGAAGAACCGAGAGGTCGATGGTAGGTTGCAACTAAGCAGAGACTTCGTTGGCTACAGGAACTAGGTCTGATAATGAGTGTAATTGAAAATACTCAAAACTCCTTTCCAAAATAATAATAATAATAATAATAATAATAATAATACCTGATCATTGTTGGAAATAATCGAATCTCACAAAATTTTATATTGATTCATTGAAAATTGACCGAAAAAGAACTAAAAATAAATAAATAAATAGTCTTTTTTAGTTGGTTAAGAGCTAAATATAAAATTGAAATTAACATTAAATTCGATAAGAAATAAATAAAAGGATACATGAAAAAGTTGTATTTTTTTTTATTACTAGAATATTCTACGTTTAAAAGTTTAGATTAATTTCTCATTTTTCGATTAAACGTACAAAACGAATACAACTATCAAAAGAATTTTCTTTACATATAAGGATTTGAATTTAAAACCATTTACTTAAGCGATTACATGTCCTTTTATTTAAGTTAATTTTCAGAATAGGAAGAATCTAAGTTTAATTTATGATTAAAATCATAAAAAAAAAAAAAAGTTAGAATAGAATTTTTAAAGTCAATTTTTGACTTTAAAGACGGTCTTTAAATTGTAGAAGAATCGGTTTTTAAACTGGATTTACAAACCCCGATCGGACATTCAAATCAAATATTATGGCCACGTCAAAGCTGCAATGCACTTGGTGGTTGATCGTAGTATCGTTATCTACTACTACCTTTGACCATTTCCTGGATCTTAATCTTGCTCGTAGTTGAACGAGTTTATCAATCCTAAACGGAACCCCGGATGAATTTATTAATGTATTCAACAAAGCTACGGACACTATGAGACTTCCATGCCTAAGAATGGAAATGGATCAAATATCTCCCTCTTCTCAAAATGTATTCCACTAGATACAATTCCAAACCACCATAACTATTCTTCAACATAAATAAATAAGAGAGCAACAAATTTCCCTAGTTTATTACTATCTTTCACGTCAACTAGGTGCACGGGTCCGATTCTAAGAGAGTAAATTTTTGAAGTATGCATTTATGTATGTGTTTTCTGTTGATGTTGTTCGTTGTATGGGCATACATTACCGGAGATAGTTAAAGTATCCTGAACTTGGATTTAACTTCTATTAGAATCGGATAATATTGTAGGTTATTGTGCTTGCTTTTTCGGTGAATGTACTCGAGTTGTTTAATATGGAATGCTCATTGTCATACCCCAAAATTTTACCTTTTTTATTATTTTAGTTTTCTTTATTTTTCTTTTATGATTTAAATTCATGCTTGCTTTGTATCAAATTAAGAGAGAGAAAAAATATTTTCTTTTATTTATTTAGAATTCGAACAAAATTACAAAAACTTACAAAAATAAATAAAATTACAAAAATAACTTGAATTTGACATATAGGGATGCAATTGCATTAATTCAAAGTGTAATTACAATAATTGAGGGTACAATTGATTTACGGGGATTAAACTTACATACAAAAAAAGAGACCCAATTTTAGGAAAACTAGACGACCGAGTCACCCACTCTCACCTAGAACTGGTTTTTGGGATTTGCTCTCCCAGTTTTCCTAGAACTAGTTTTGGGTTCCAATTTCAATAATTATCCTTCCCCGGGAACCAATTTGGTTCCCGGTTTCAACTCCCAATTCCCAGCAGCAATCATCATCCCTCAATATGCAGCTACCCAACTCCTCTCAAGTTAACAATCTCGACACCCCTACCCGCCACCACTTTACTGCTGCAAATTCCAACAACTCCTGCAAGCACAAACCCCTCTTGCCGGCCACCCCGCACAATCCACAATCTTTAGCCTCACTAAGCCAATCTCCAACAGTCTCACCATCGCCACGACCCACAACATTGTCCAATCCAACCCTCCACTTAACACCCATATCCCGAG